ATATATATATATGTAATTTGCTTGAAAAATGACAGCAATGAAATTAAGATATTTGTAGAGTTCATGCCAGTTGTTCGAGCAGAAAATAATGTATTGAAATTGTATGCATGAATGACCATTTGATTCAGTTTCAGCCCAGACATTTACTGATTGTTTTGATCTCATTTAGACATCTTTTTATCCTTTAAATGCTCACTGCTTCCTGAGACCTGTGTTGTAACAGCTCAACTCCTAAACCGAGGATTTGCTGTAAAAACAAAACAAGAAAAAAAAAAAACCTCACCTACCAGAAGGGGTTTACATTTTGTTTAAGTTCAAATGAGCAGCCTGAAGCTAACACAGTTAGCATCAATGAGCTGAGCAGTGATACGCAGCGGGATCAGCCACAGTCAATGGGTTTTTCTGTGAAGCTGTTTTCCAGATGGAGCAGGATTTGACTGCAGATGTGTTAACTGTTGAAAAAGCTGTTTCATGTTTTTGCCTCATGTAGCTGCCCTGAAGTTAAAGTAAAGCAAACCCATGTTATTTATTTATTTATTTATTTATTTATTTATTTTTTGCAATACACTGCTTTTGGTGCTTTCCCTCAGGCAAAAATGCTGTCTAACTCCCACTTTCATGTTAGTTTCCTAATAAATTAACTTTTACATGATTGTATTAGGTGGTTAAAGCTGTCTGCTCTCAGTGAAAACAGGTTCGCCTCCCAGCCTGGGGTCCTTCTTAGTGGAGTTTTCATGTTCTCTTGGTGCATGTGTGGGTTTTCTCCGAGTTGCTCTGGTTTCCTCCCACAGACCAGAAAAAATGCCTGTTAGGTTAATTGGTAACTTAAATTCTGTGACCAGTGAACACAGACCAAGTCGACAGGCTAAAATGTTTTTATCTGCCAATGTGGTTGGATCTGAAACACCATTAAAGCAAATTGAATCCAATTTAAAGCAAATATTTTATACTTCCGCTAGGACTCGCAAACACACGAAACAATTACGTTGGTGTACTGAGGTGACTCCCAGCTGCAGCTGTCCTGCACACACAGTCCAGAAAATCCTTTCCTCCTCTGCAGAAGAACACAGCAAGTCCTCCTGACTTCGTTCTGATTCGAGCAGAAGTGCAGCACCCACGCAGGGGTCTGTCCTGTTCTGAATCTTCATTAAGAAAACTCTCACTATAACTGCCACCTAATCTCTTCTCCTCACCACCACCTACTTCCACAGCTCTCATCCATCCCACAACAATATCAGGACAGGGCTGCCTTCTCATTTGTCTTGCTGTAGCATAGCTGTAAGGCTGCTATTCGTAAGCTCTGAGGACAAGCTTGCCTGTTTGTCCTTTTTTTAAACATTTAGCTCTTTTTAGCTTCACTCAGACTCAAGTGTCTATCCACTGATCATCTAAAATTATAGCGTCTATTTTTAATATCAAGGGTTTGCACAGCCTTGCAAAACAGTGTAAGTCTCCTAATAGATGAAAGATTTAATTATCACTGCTAACGTAAAGCAACCCCCGTCTGCCAAGTCTTCATAACCAGGATCAATCTCAGCAAACATGCTCTTTTCTATAGTTTTAGCATCATTCGAAGTGTACTGGGTGAGGGTTTGTTAGAGTGAGCCACTGCCCTAAAGTGCAACTGAAGATGTGCAATGAGCCACATGGGAGTAATGAGCTAATTTAATCAGTGCGCTACATTTGTTTTATATCAAAATGCAGGAAAAACAAAGTTTTGGATTAGAAATGCATGGCATCATTTTTTTAAAACAACTGTTATCAAAAGGAATAGCTCAGGTTGTTCAAAGAGGGGTTTTGTGGAAAGGTTAGGAGCAACTAATATGGTGTAGATAGCTGTGTTAATGGCATTAATGGCAGATAATGGAGTATAATTATGACTGGACTAATAAGCTAGCGGCTATAGAGCCTTTTTCAAATGACTCCATTCTCGAAAACGTCAAAGTGGTTCATGCAAATGGTATTTTATAAACTTTTACACTGCTGTCAGTTTCATCTTACGCTGTAGAAATTTGTTTATTTTTTTTGGCGCAGATGACAGCAGTAGGTAGCTGTAGCACTTCCTGCAGGAATGTCTCATATGTCGTGCAAATCTGATGCAGTCACTTCTTTATAATCTTTGCTCAACCCAGACTGAAGGCCTCTGCATGCGCCATCTTCAACCTGCTTCGTGTCTTCCGCCCCTTCTTGTCTCAACCCACTGGAGAACCTTTCACCCCACCACCACCACCCCCCCTCCCACACACACACACACACACATGACATTATCGTATGATTTATCAGATGTACTTGACTGTGTTTGTTAATGGCGAAAGTGCTTGGATGCTGCATTTTTACCGAGAAAAGGGTTAAGAAATTTATAGCTAATAACTTTACCACAAAACTGCATTTCAAAATGTGTAAACTATCCCTTTAAGTATAATGCAAACAGGCAAGTCGAACACGCTGCGTTCGAAAACAAAGCCCGGCTCACCTGTAAAAGTAGGAGCAGCCTCGCACCGTGTTGTGGCTGAAATATTCCTGGGTCTTCTCATTGCCAAAGTCCTCCAGAGGATCCGACCACAGCAGGTCACACATGGGTCCGAACGCCGGCGGCTCCTTGAACCGGTCCAGCTGAACTCCGGAGAAGCAGAGCGTCAACGTGGAAACGGTGCACGGAGGAAATGCAGCAGCTAAAAGCGGGACGCCGTTACCTTTTTAATGTCATCTAAGGTGTGTATTTCAGGCGAGAGCCCGCCGTGGACACACAGGAACTGCTGGTTCATGAGTGCAGCCAGGGGAAGGCAGTCAAATGCATCCATACATGAGTCATACACCTGTTCTGAGTACTTGATTTTACCTGTCGAGGCAAGGAAGAATAGCTCTTATGTGTGCAAAAAAAAGAATTCAGCCTGCCTATTTCAAGTCACAGTTCAGGTACAACAACAAAACATCACAAATAACTGCAAAATAATGTTTAGAAGATAAATATGTAAAATAGGTCACGTTTGCGTATTTTTTTATGGAAATGCCTCGCTGTCAACTCTGCATTTTTAGTTATCTGCAGACAGATCCAGCTTTTTTCTACTACCACACATGTTCAACTTGACAAGCAAAGAGCAGACATTATATCTCCTGCAGAAGGGCATGACTCTACCAAGACAGGAAGAAAAGAATAGTGTATATATAAGGGAAGAAAATCAATCCGCTGTAGTACTCACATTCTTGTTTGAAGGTGAAATATTCTGTCAAATGTCTACATTCATGATTTCCACGAAGTAAAAATAGTGTCTTTGGATAGAGGATTTTCAGCGACCAAAGGTATAAAACACACTGTCAGAACACACACAGGGTTATTTACTTTAGGTGAATACTGATGGATGTTTTCATTAGTTTCCTTCTTTACATGCTTAAATTGATGATCTCACCTCGATACTGAAGTAGCCGCGGTCAACGTAGTCCCCAAGAAACAGGTACCGTGTTGTGGCCGGCGATCCTCCCACTTCAAACAGCTTCATTAGGTCAAAGAACTGCCCATGGATGTCTCCACAGACTGAAAAACAACCAGAGGACAATGCATTTAAAGATTTTACTAACAACTCTTTAAATATCTTTGTGCGAGTATTTCTGTGTGAACCTCGGTCTTTTGATGAAAGCACAGCATTATAACTTTAATCGTGCTTATTTTCTATTCGGTGGAACATTTTACAGCCTTAATGTTTCATGTTGACGTCATGAACCATGTTGTAGTTTTCTGAGCACACGGCATTGTGGGTAGAGGTCAGAGGTTGCTCAGTACAAACAAACCCACCCTTTTTAGATTTGACAAATGCGACCGTGTTTTTTCCATTTATCTGATGTGTTTTTGTCCATTTTGGCAGAGAAAACAATGAATGAGGTGAAATGTTGGAGTGTCGATACACCGTGTGACTTTTCACGAGCAAGGGGTCAGGGTGGTAAAGTAACTAAGTACAAATACTTTGTTACTGTACTGAAGTAGAATTTTTGGCTATCTGTACTTTACTTGAGTAATTATTTTTCAGCATACATTTTACTTTTACTCATTACATTTTTACAAAATTATCTGTACTTTCTACTCACTACATTTTTAGAAAAAGGTAAGAAGTAGAAAGTCGTTACTCCTATTTTATTCCGAGTTGTTATTACTTAAAAATACTATCCTGATAAAGTGTCTCCTGGATAGAGTGAATTTAATTGTGGTTGGATGAGAAGTATAAATATATACCATTCTGACACCATATTATCTTGTACACAACCCATCACAGCTGCACGCCGTTAGAAAAAATATTTTTTGGAGAAGTCACCTCCCAATAAATATCATTTTGGAAAATCTAATTGCTCACTTTTACTCAGTACTTTTACTTTTAATACTTAAGTAGATTTTGTGTCAGAAATTTACTTTGATACTTTACAAAAAATATCAGATACTTTAAGCCTTTTACTCAAGTAATATTTTTAGAGAAGACTTTAACTTTTACCAAATTATTTTTATGATAAGATACTTGTACTTTTACTCAAGTATCACTTTGAGGTACTTTATACAACACTGCAAGGGGTTGATAACAGAAAGTGCAATCTTAAGTTTTTATTTGTGAAGATAAATCATAATTACCTCTCATTGTCTTTCAGTTTATTTTGAGTTTTTTTCTTATCTGCTCTGTCTCTCATAGATGAACTGAGCCATGAGATATTCTGAATGTTTGATTATTTTAGCTCTTACCAATACCTACTTTACTAAATGATCCAGCGGTTAATTGGGACTTCTGCCCAACATAACAATATATACTCTCAACCATGGCAAGAAAAACACGATTAAAAAAAGTTCAAAAAACAGATTCATAGCTCAAAGATATTTTAGAGAATAATCCAAAGGATAGAATAATTAAAGGAAATTTTTAACACAAAACACTTTAGAGCAAATGCATCGCGTCTGTATAACGGCATAAATTTACCGGTTCAATTTGTTCAATTCCAATGACGTTAGCAACTTCAGCGTTTAGACCACATGACCTGTGGCTCGGCCGCTTTGAGCGTTCGTGTCTACAAGATGGTCTATTTTAAAAACAATGACAATTCAGTAACTTTAATTTAGATGTGCAAAATCTGTTTGTAAAAGCAGGAACTCCACTATTATTGTTTATTGTAATGAACTGAGTCAGCAGGGCTAACCACTGCTCCACTGTGCAGCCCACGTATGGATATATTTACAAGTTTTTTTTATCCAGTGTTCTTGTTCTTGTTCTTGTTCTCGGTTATTCTGTCAAATAAGATTTGAAACGTGTTTGAAGTAAAAAGGCAATAAATCGTGTTGACTACTTTTAAAAACCCTTTTTGAGTGTTGAAGTAGTGATCTGAACTATTTTTAAAGTATTTTGTCATAACCTTAAAGGAATATTGTGTATGTACATCTCAATAATCTTGTTTATCCATCGTCTGCATGCATTTTAAGCGTGACTTAAAATGTGCCAGGTTTCTTCTCGATATTTCAGTGTCACAGACTGCCAACAAAAACAAAAAAGAAAAAAAAACAACCAACATCTTCGCCAGGTAGATCAGAAAATACAGTGTGACTCTGGCAAGATGGCTGAGCATTGTGGCTGCGTTTGTAAACATTGACACAAGGACCAATTATTCTGTTGGCACTGGCATGCTCATTAACTGGAACAGTTTTTATTTATTTATTTATTTATTTATTTTTGCATGTGGAACCCTCTGCTTTACAATAAACTGAAAAAAGTCACATATGAGCAAAACTGCAAAACAAATATCAGAAGCACTGTGAGTAGCTGCATTTCTGATATATAGTAGTAAAGGGATATTTCTATTATCTTTAGCTGAAAGCCCTCCCTCTTCTGCTGCTGAGAAATGAGAAGATCTCGCCTCGAAGGGGTGGAAGAAACTCAAGCCCCCGGGGAGATTTATACCTTTTTTTTATGGAGAACACCACAGCTCTAGAGTGCAAACCTACATCTCATTTCCTCGCTGCCTTCAATTTTTTATTATCACCTCGCTCGTTCTCGTTCTCTCCTGCTCATCCTCCATCTCAGCTCGCTTTTCCGTCTACCCTATCAGCTCCACAGTGGCCTTCGCCCACTCGAAGCTTAGAGCAATGTGTGTGGGAGACTGCTTGTGTGACTAAAGCAATCAAACGCACACATGCGCACACAGATGCAGGAGCCGCACACAAACACCCGTGTAATACATGCATGCAGGCTGCATTGAGATTCATACAGCTCGTCAGCATGTAAAATAAATGTACAGATGCCCATATATAACAATAAGTTCATCCCACCATGAGCTGAAGGCATTAGGCCTTTATTTAAATGAGAAGACTGAGACCTCAACTGAAGTTAAAGGGAAAGTTCAGATATTTTAAGGGGGGTTTTGTTGAAAAGCTATAGTCTTAGATAGAAGGACCTCAGAGCAGATCAACAAGCTAATGGCTAGTCTGTATAAAGACAAGCTTTGAATTGCATTCAGCTTTGCAGTACGTGTTGTTACAGAAAAAAAACTGCATGATTTTCATGCTGAATGGGCCACAGGCTCCATCAGTGTAACCACCAATTTACAAAGCGTCCGCTCCAGTCTCCGCAGTAAATATGCACACATCAATGAGAGCATTTACACTGCATTCACAGGGCAATGGCGTGCAGACGACCATCCGACAAAAATGGATTCAATCCTTTATTTTTTTCAGACAGAGGAGCAAATGTGGAGTCTATCTACAAAAACCACACTGCACCACCAGGAAAATAATTGAGCGCAACATCCATATTTTCAAAATAATTCACGAAAGGCACACTACATTTGTTGAAGTCCTGTATATGGATAAATATATTGGTATATTCATATGCTTTTCTCCTGACCTGGTGGTCTTTCTTTCTTACATCCAGAACACACACATCTATGGAGCGGCACGTGTAAAATAAAATGTTAAAAAAGTCACTAACATATGTAAGAGTGTAAAAAATTTCCACTAAACCTTTATTGTGATTTAGCTCACTGTTCTTACACTTTCATTTTTACTAAATGTTGAATATAAACATTAAATAATGTGTGTAAATATTTAATCCTGAATCTAAATGCAAAAGTTCAATCTTAAATGTTGTGGTTAAATGTTGTTTATATTTAAGTATTTCTGAACGGAATGCAACCTTTGCTGTTGATGCTCGGCTCTTGTTAAGACATCATCATCGTGAGACAATAGCAACCTCTAACGCTGCTAACGCTGCTAACGTTGCTAACGCTGCTAATGTTGCTAAGACTGCTAACTTGCAGTTGCGGTCAGAGCTGCACATCAAAATGCTGGACCAGTTACCATCCATATTGTTTTCAGTGAACACATTTTGAATTTCGATTTGAAATACCAGGTTCGGCAGCATTAGTAGCGGTTACCATTGATGTTTCGCTCAGGATGATGACATCATTCTGATTAGCTAATGCTAACTGCTGCTGAAAATAGTTAAAATCTAGGCGCATATACAAAACTTATATTATATCTCAGTGTGCATTGTAAGATAGTGGAGACTGTAATACCCTAATTGTGGTTTCAGTGATGCTTTTCCTGCTTTGACAGATCAAATTTTTAACTGTGAAAATGCTCCACATAATCAAACACAAGGTTAAATATTGACTTTCCACATTAGGTTCAGTTTTAAGTGGCAGATACCTGTGACTGGGGCCTCGATGTCGAGGATAGTTTTCTCCTGGCGGAGGATGGCAGCTCCCTCGTTGATGATTCGAAGCGCCACGGCTTCCTCTACGCGCCCCTCCTTGGTCAGGTGGGCCTTCAGGAGGTCCACGCGGGGTTTGCCTTCGCAGTCGAACACTTCCTTCATGGTAAGGCGGTGGCTCAAAGGGAAGGGGACAGCTGAGGGGACAGAGCACATGGCGGGTATGTAAGAATCACACAGAAACAACAGTTCCTGCTAATCCATTTCTCGACACTGGCCTATGAACGACCCATGCATAATGGATAGTATTCATTAACAGGTCTGTCACTTAATAATAATTCTTCCTGCACAGATGTGAAACTCTGTCGTTTTCCAAGAGCCACATGAAACATTTAAATAATCTGTTCTCTCTTACTGGATTGCTGAAGCGTGGCCATTAAAATGCATCAGTCACCTACCCACCAGACAGCCTGTGAAAGTGTGAAATCCAACCACAGATCATTACTTCAGCGATGGCAGCAAAAAAAGAAAAAAAATTATAATCTTGACTTTTATTTTCAAACGCATGGCTGATCTCTGTGTGCTGTGGCTACAAGCTTTGGGCATTGATGGATCGACGTTAATCGAGATCATCTGGCTTAACGTAGAAAACTCTTTCTAAGTGTCCGAGCAGTGAATGATTCATATAAAGGGGGGAGATTATGTCAGATGAAGTTCAGCTGCTGACTCGTCGCCGTATAAAACACAAACGGGCCAAACAGCAGCGCCAAATGAGGAGAAAACACGGAGCGAGTCTCTGAGCCCGGGCCCTAAACTGAACATGATCAAGAAGGTCTTTAATAATGAATGCTAAACTGGAGAAATCTCAAAGCTGCTACTCCTGGGATAATGAGGCAAGCCCCGGCAAGTGCAGCTAATGGCACCAAAAAATGTTCACAGTGTACAGTGTGTATCTGTGATGTGTGCTTTGACACTTAACCAGCAAGAACAAACTCGGCCCCATCAGAAAAGGGACTGCAGGAAGTCCACGATCTGACAATGTAGCCAAAACCGCTCAATTCCCAAGATACTTCAGACTCTGTAACCAACATGTCTTTAGTCCTGCAGTGTTTGTTTTCCTTGAGTTTAGAAATATATGTGATGCATGAATCAGATTAATCCTAATTGTAAAAATAAAGATTATTTATGAAGAGAAATAGTCTGTAAAAAAAGGGAAAACATTTAACTATGATCATAGAATGTCCTCAGAAAATGAATGTAATAAATGTTGGAATCTAATTAAATATTGATGACTTCAAATAGAATCTAGCTTTATTTTTGTGTAACTTTAATGTGAAAACTATATATTTTTAAAGTCATCACTCTTAACTGTTATTAAAGACACATAGCCGCAGCAGCTAGCTGTAGCACTCCCATAACACGAGAAAACAGTTGCCTGTTCTCAAAATACTGTATCTAATGAAAAAGGAAGTCAATAAAAGAAAATTCACTTCTTAACTAGTGATCTTCATCAACATATTTCACAGAAACACACATGTTGACGCAGATGCAGCATGCACACACAGAGTGCTGATATAGATGTGCGGTGCAGAGATGAAAAGCTGAATTCTACTCAGCACTGGAGCACAGCTGAACTATGAAATACTGTATGTTGCTGGGCAACAGCAGCAGCAGCAGCAGCAGCTGATGGTTGGAGTGCAGCCAGCGATGCTCCACAAAACTGCAATTTGCACTAGAGGTTTACACAGATACAGTAATGTGCTGGTCATACAGTAGACAAGGCAAACTGTCAAATCACCTCTCAGCAAGGTTTGCGTTGTGTTTTCAATAAACACGTTTTTCTTGGACAGAAATGTGAAATAAGTGGCGACGTGTTGCTAACACGATATGAATGTTTTGAACGGCTTGAAAAAGTGACCGATGGGAATCGATTTGCAGGCGGTTGTAACTTATATTTTTCTTCATGTTTCCCACAGATAGAAACAAACAAAAAAACCCACATTGTTCTACCCTCATAAGGACTTTGTATCGACTTCCATTCATTTAACGCTCATTTCTGTAGCCGGACCCTAAACCTGACCACCCCAGTACACATCTAAACCTAACCTAAACTCAATTCACACCTGAACCCTGACCCACCAAAGGTATTTTCCCCAGTGGGGACTGGGCTGTTGTTCCCAGGAACAACAGTGGGTCCTCACAGGGCTGTGTGTACTGGGAAAATGGTCAAAAACCATCCCTACCAGGCAGTGATGGGCAGCACTAATCTAAATATTAGCTGCACTAACCCTAAAGCACTAACTCAAATATTTAGGTCCCCTAATTCTAAAGCACTAAAATAATGGAACATTCTTCAGAGTCAACATGACACACTATTTACTGTGTGCAGAATGTTGTCACTTGGTGCCCTTGGTGGGCCAAATGGGAGTCACCCGCAGGCCACATTTGGCCCGGGGGCCTTAAGTTTAATACATGACCTTATAGATAAGTGGCACGCATATGAACAAAATGTGTGACAGCTTTCACCCTCAACTGTGAACAATAATGTTGATCAATAACATTTAAAGACCTCAGTTAGTGCTTCTAAATAAAATAAATTCAGAAAGTGCTAATCCACTAATGAATTTAAAAAAAATAGCAAAAACCCTAAAGCACTAATCAAGAAATTAATCCCCCTGTTAGTGTTTTAGTGCTTTAGGGGAACTGTGCCCACCACTGCAACCAGGAAACAAAAACGTAAATTCCTTTGGTATTCTGTTGTGATGAAAAAAGAAGAGGAAAAGGGGGAGGGGCTTGTGTGCTTTTGACAAACGTGGCCGCAGCAGTATGTGTGTACATAATGACACACAACTAATACTAATATGCGACCAACTATAAAAGAGTAGCAGATCCTCAAGATGTGGCTTCCTTCGAAGAACCATAAATCCATCCATCCATCTTTTTTTACCGCTCTTCCTTTCTGGGTCGCAACCTTACTGGTACCTGTTATTGTGGACAGGTTGCAAGTCCATTACAGAGACACAAAAAGACAAACGAGACGAAGAACCATTCACTCACTCACCTAGGGAGAATTTAGAGTTACAAATTAGTCTAGCATCCACGTTTTGGGTCTGCGGGAGGAAACTGGAGTATCCAGAGAAAAGCCACATGTACACAGAAATATCCTCCACCTAGAAAGGTCTAGGTTGGGGTTTGGTCCAGCAACCATTTTGCCGAGAGGCGACAGCTCAACTGCACCACTGTGCCACCTCAAAGAGTCGTAAACCTCATCTCTAATGAGCGACCATTGTAGTCCACACTCGCTTCACCTGATTGAACTAAGCAGGCTGTGTTTTCCTTTAAGAGGGTTTAATGAAAAAAGCTTTTAACTTTATGTCGCGGGAGTCCTTTTCCACAATTCCACTTATCTAAATTAGCTTAGTAAATTAAAGCTGTTTGAACCTCCTGACTGATTACTGCTCACCAGCAGCGACAAACGGAAACAATGTTTTGAATCATGTGTGCGTCTATTTGTCCGTATCGTTTGCAAAATATCACATGAATAACTTGAAGACCCAAACCAAATGAGCTTAGCAAACATAAAATAGATATTTACCCAGCTAACAAGATAACACAACACCACATCAGATTGCACAAACAATATTTTCAAAGTTTGTCCAATCATTTCTCAATTTAAGGTGAAAAAGGTAAAAAATAATAATTGGCGATACAATATTCCTTTAATATTAAAGCTGCTGTCAAATCCAACTTTAATTCTAATTCCTAACTTGTCCATACAGCGGGTAAAATAAGTACTGAACACGTCACCATTTTTCTCAGTAAATATATTACTAGAGGTGCTAATGACATGAAATTTTCACCAGATGTCGGAAACAACCCAAGTGACCATACATACAAAGAAATCAAACCATAAATGTCCAGAAATGAAGTTATTTGTAATAATGTGGAATGGCACAGGG